CAAAACTAGTAGAAGAAAAGAGAATAAAATCTCTTCAAAAAACTAAATCTTCCTCATCTGGTACGTCCCGTCACTATTAGGCAGAATTATAGTATCCAACTTTAATGTCATCCAGCAAACATATGACACTAAATGCAGGAAATGGTGTCTCTCCTTGAATGTAAGTTGCAAGAAACCACAAAGAGTGAGAAACTGAGAGAAACAGTATTTTAAAAAAAGAAAGAACAAAACTAAAACAATATTAACATTTCATATATAAATAAGCATGTGTACAAATTAATATACACAAAACCTGTACTGTACCTGATTTAAAGGCTAATCCTATGAAATCCCACCCATCAAAACAAATGTTGGTAATGACAGCACACTCAGAAAAAAAGAAATAAAAGTAATGTTGTTATCAAGCAATAAAAAAAACATGTTCTCTACAGCCACATTTAGTCGATGTGTCCAATAACAAGTTTTGTAACAAGTCAAACAAGTTTAAGTTTACACTGTTCTATTCAGATGGAACTGTCAACACTACTATTTTTGCCTCCTAATTAATGGCTAATGTTTGTACTTTCCTCATTTTGAGTTGCTTACAAATACTCATTTATAATCTCAATTAATCTTTGGTTTCAAGTCCAAAGTTTTTTTGAGTAGTGAAAGAAAGAAATGCTGCTGTGTGCACATCCAAATACTTTTATAATGTTAACTGTTAACATTTAAGAACAAAAACAATTCTACAAAAAATGTAAGGCATAAAAAATATGAATGATGACTGCACAAAACTTTGAACATTTGTATTAATCTACAGTAAAATATGGAAAACAAAAAGTAGCTTCATAGAATTGACATAAACTTCAAGATGCTGGGTCCATGTTTTCTTCAGATGCTGGAAAAGAATTGATTCATTGATTTAGAAGAAAATAAAACTAAGATTCAATCACTTTATTTTCCCAGAATCGTAAAACAAAAGACATTAGCAAAAGTTAATGTACTCACTAGAAGCAGCAGAATAATCACTCTTTAAGGAAGCTATAACATGAAAGAAAATCAAAAATAGAATTATTAATGGCAATTAAAGATTGTATTATAAATAAAAGTATCACTGGATGATTTATCATTCACTTCAGTTCTTGTACTACCTGCTCGTCTCCTTCTGCATTTACATATGATGATTCCAGACACCAACACCAGAGTCCCAAACACCAACACCAGAGCCAAAACTATCAGCACTGAAGTAATCACTGATTTAAATGGTTCACCAGGGTCAAATTCTGAAACAAACGAGTTAAAAAGGTCACACACAGATTAGAAACTCAGGCATAATGGGATATTTTATCATTTTAAATCATTACCCAACTCAATGTCCAGTTTGTTGTCCAGACTGAGGTGTGTGACAGAGCAGGTGTAT